CAAGCTCATATGATGGCAGCGCAAGCAGAAAAATAAACAGCAGGCTGACAAAGACGCAGGCAAAGGATTCAAAGACAGATGCGCATGGGATCTCACAGGGGCGCGCGTTTCGGGCTCACTCCCGGCTTGTTTTGTGTCTGTGTGGCCATTCCTACGACTTTGTCGGTTTCCTGGATGAACACCGGAAACAGACGAAAGACACAAAGGGGACCACTCACAAACAGCACGAATTTTCAGCGTGCTTGTTTGGAGCTTGAGCATGAAGTCACTCCAGCTTGCACGCTTTCTTAAGCCTTATTGAAGCTGCTGAAGCATGGCGCCGCGCGGTACTGCAGCATGCTTTCAACTGCAACGAAGTTTGGAAAGAGGCAGTAGAGTGAAGGCAGACGCAGCCCCAGTTAGAACAGTTAGAAAAGGATCCAGGCATCCAACGCTATTGCGCATTCGTGCGGAAGACTTCCATCGTCATAAGGTCTTGAATGCATGCAGTTCTCATATATATGATATAGATGCTTATGTATATTTGGGTCTGTCCCACTTTCCCATCCAAGGTTGCGTCAAATGCAGGCGCCCGACCGCTGGAAAAGTCAAGCTGACGGATAAGACCGGGTCCTCTTACGAGCCTTGTGTCGCGAAAGGTGCATACCTGTGTTGTTACATTGTTACACCAAGACAAAGGTTGTCAGACTTCATTTCTTGTCTGGACACAGCTGCAGATGCCTCGAGTAAGGAATTTGGCTTCCAAGTGGTCAAGGAGTCGGCTCTTTCACGAGTCATGCGCACTCCAACCTCGAGGTCTGCAAAATCTGGCACAGGCCTCAAATCAGATTAGCCATCTTGATTGATTGTTAAGCTTGCGCTTTCACATGCGCAAGCAACGTGACGTTCCGAGTAGGACGGAAGGCAGCGAAGGACGCATGTTTTTCTTGTGTTTGCGAATTCATGTGGCACGTTCAAGCTGGCACCTGACACTTTGTAGGAATCGATAGGCGAACCATCAGCCTACCAGCTTCAATGCCTCCGTAGGGTCACGGAATTCCGCAAGTCGGGCTTCTGAGGCCAACAGTCCATGGATCCTGAAGAGGTGGAAGCGGCGACTGTACTTGCAAAGAGAGAAAATTTTGCTGTAGTAGGCCAGCGGCCAGAACTGCCTGTCCTGCCCGTCTGAGGTCAAGATTCACGTGAAGTGGGATGTGGACGTCGTGCAGCGGCAGCATTAGTATTACTGGCCATCAACGATAGCTTGATGGCATGCGCCGCTTTAGTCTTGAGTAGTTTGCACTTCAGAGCACGCAAATGGCGTCGAGCTGCAGAGTGCCTAAGGACAAAGCGCAGGAAGCAAACTTCGATTTCAGTGTAGGTGCAGATGGCATCCCGGCAAAATCCTGCAGACAAGGGCCACTGACTTCTGGCCAGGGTTTGCTTGTACCATGAGGCGAAAAAAAGACCGGAACTTTCCTCGCCGTCACTGACACTGCTGGCATACTCCCCACCACAGAAGTAAAACCTACGAAGTCCGAAAAGTCAGTGGATGATGCGCGGTGGCTTGTCGATTACTTGATTTGCGTTGCTTGAGTATCGCACGTCAGTACTGAGATAGACCATTGTCCTTCCAGGAGTGAGTCTCCTCGCAGCTCAAGGCATCGGATGCTTTCCGAGGCCACTGGACTGCAATAGAAGCACATCGTAAAGCAGCCCTCAGGAACTCTTAAATGCTGGAGCCCTCAACTTGCACGATTGGTCTGACTACCGCTGCTTAAGAACGCATGAGCTGCCTAGTGCTAGCGTCTCTAGTCAGCATGCAGAAGCCGTGCTCTCGGGATAATGCACCACAATAGCAGATAGTACTGTAGCAGAATCTCAGGGCCTATCCGCCTTTTTCAGGATACCCTGCCACGTTCCGTGAACCGTGAACGTGTTGTCATCTCGCGCAGGCAGAAGAAAGGGTGTTGCAAGACCTGTTTGCGGAGGAAAACCTGAGTGAGGATAATAATGAAGAGGACCATCGCCGTCTCGTAAGTTGAAGCAAATTGCGATTGGTTCTGCGGATGGCCAAGCATGCACGTGTCCAGCTATGGCAACACTCTCGTGTGAAGCGCAGGAGCCCGTTTCCGAGGTTCTCATAGTGGACAGTCCAGACAACGACTCTCCCGTCCGCATCAAGTCTGCTGTGGGGTACGAGGCGTTCGAGCATGGAGCGCATGTGGAGTATTGGTCTGCAACACACTCAAAGTGGTTTCTTGCCTGCAAGTTGTTGCGGTTTTTGCTTCCTTCGAGAGCCCCAGCTAGAACCTGTTGTCAGCTTATGATTCCAGCTTGGTCATGTTTGAGAGTCCTGAATTGCAAGCAATTCAAATAGAACGGGTTCTAATCAGTCACAAGGAGCACACGGGTTTTTATGCCAGCCTCAGGTTACAGGGCGCCGTTGATGGCCAGGGCATCGTGGTGCCGGCAACTCCTGACTTCCCAACCTACAACCTCAACTTGAAAGGAAAGTCCTCCAAGCAGAGGCGTGAATTTGCTCTTGGGCTGCAGGCTAGCGGAGCGGTGTTTTGATCGAAGGGCGGGGAAAGTGAACCAGGCTTGAACTAGAACCCCTCGCGGTGAAGCTGAGGTTGACTTGTCCTGCATCCGGAATCCGTTCAGAGAAGGGCACCATGTGAGCGTCAGGCTAGACTCCGAGGACGGGGCTTACCAGCACACTGCAAGCATCTTCCAGTCGTGCACTGCTCCACTTCTGAAGACTTGGATACCAGTCGCTTGGACCGCCTGGGGCATGTCATGCTCCAGAACGGGTAGGGTCCATGAGGAAAAGTGCTTGTAGTTGCAACCCGCTATGCCTGAAGAGGAGACATGGATTCCCGCGATCATCGTTGGCAGACAAAGCGTACCGCTAGGCACGGACTGCGGTTGGCTCCCCTCATAAGAAATAGAAGACATTCCTCAACTGGACCTCACGGATTGTGGGCCTTCTTTGCAAAGCCCATCCTGGAGCAACGCCTGTATCCTGAACTCCATACCATACTGTTGTTCTTAGCGCCCTTCAGATCGAAGTCCTTGACGTAAAGGAGTGCAGGCTGAGTTATAGCAGCGGTACATCTCTTGCCAGCCTGCCTCCAGCACACTTGATTTCAAGGTGTGGGCTAGTGCACTGTAGCGTTGAGGAGGCAAGATAGTTTCCCGTTGTGAAGCCTGAGAAGCAAGACCCTATGTGTTTACAGCGTCGGAGATGTGGAGCTGTGCCCATTAAGTGTGAGCTGCTTGTTAGGCTACAGGGTGCTGCTTGTCACAGAACCCCGCGACGGCGAGTGCCTCACACTGACAGCCGAGCCCTGGTTTCATTTTGAATCTTTTGGAGTTTGGGGCATTCAAGCTTCTTCAAGTTTTCCTCAATGCCCACGCTGCTGTAGTCGCAGGCGGGCCCAGCGGAGTGCCATGAAAACTGAAAGCTGTCTGAGGAGAGGGTTCGCAGCCGCTTCCCGGCTGGCCAAAGAGTAGCCACTTGGAGAAATGTCCAGCTTAGTAGATTGCGTCAAGAAGCGGAGACAGCCACCTAACTACTGCAAAGGCAGCATGTTCGAAACAGATGCTCCACTCCATTAAGGCGGTGTACAGAGGCCTTGAGAGAGGCTGGCAGGAAGGAGCCTGAGACTCAGTGACTCTTAGCCCCAAAGGGATGTGGCTTGAGGTGAGCAGCCTCCATCCCTTGTCAGCTTCAGCCTTAGGTGCCATAAATGACACCGCTCAGTGCTGTTGAGACAAGAGTTCAGCAAGATTCCGCTTACAAAGTTTGGTTTCAGCTGGCCTTGACTTGCAAATGAAAGGGGGTTGAAGGCTGATGAAGTTCTGGAAAATGGGTTAACCTGATTGATGCACAACTCTGCATCCGTCAGATAGCCTTGTGTGCAATCTTAGAGTTTCCACGCAAGGTGGTACGAAGTGATAAGCCGGATCACGAAGTGTGGCCGCAAGTAAACGTGGAGCTTCTTGCTTGCAAGCTGCGCCTGCTTCAGAATGATTTTGATTCTGTTGGCTCACAATTGCGTGCTTGCGATCCGAGGTTTGAGTCAGCAACGGAAGCTGAGAACGAAGTGGAGGAGTGCTTCCAGCACCTGGCTCTTTGTCGGCACAAATTGATCTGAGCAGTAGCCATCACGGCAGGTTGAAGGCAATTCAGTCGAATCAGTCAACTATCGAGCAAACGGCATGGTAAGTCAGATTCTGCCAAGCGGGGAATCCTCTCAAGATGCAATCACTGTGCCGGGAACGAACATCGCACCGCTCACCTACCATAGTCACCCATAGTCTTCATAACTCAGCATACCAAGGTGCAGATGGTTGTCCAAAACAACGTCTCCCCATCGAAGTCTGAGTCTGCCTCTCCAACCAGGGTGGCGGTGTAGTAGGCATTGTGTTTTTGCCCTTCATGGTTCTTTGCTGTAGATGGCTTCAGGAGCTGTACAGATGGACAGGTGCTTGTAGTTGTGCCTTTGCTACTGGAAGCCCAGTGCCGCAAAATGTTTTGCACTTCGATGCTCGCACAAGCCGACCAGGCCAAGCAACTTGCTTTCAAGGCAGTTTGCTAAGCCCGCATGGCACGGAGCGCACGTTGCGAAGGTTGGGCGAAGGTCAACTATGCAGCTACAACTAGACTCCATCTCATCATTGTGTTCATTTTGCCTCGGCTGCTAGGGCGGCAACACATGTAGTTTCGAAGATGCGCGCGGAAAGTCTGCTGCGCATCCTTGGTTGTCTCACCTCCCTACACAAGTCCGGCCTCCCCCCAGACATGTGCCAAACGGGATCAGGAATCAGCCAAGCTGTTCCGTTCCATCGCTAACGAGGCGTTTTCAGCATCCAAAAAGCTGCCTATGAGCGCAGGAGACCCAACTGCTCGATCATTGCGTTGCTGAGGTTATGATCATAGGTGGCTACGTGCCTAAGAGTGGGATTGAAGCACAAGCAACTGGGTCAATTGCACGCAGGGACTGAGCAGCGAGGTGCGAGCAGGCCGTACAGACTTCAAGGAGAAAATCCTTGAGCGCGCCAAAAACCGCAAAGGTGAGGAGCCAAATTCCTTGCAAGTAGTGTTTTGATGTGTCTTGGCTCTAAAGATAAAGCTTCAAGTCACGACAGCTAAAGGTGGGCGGACCAACAAAGAGAATGCTCGAAACAAGCCACTCATCATGACGCTGCACAGCCCGGCACCTACACTGCGTAGAAGTTTAGGATGAGGCGCCCTGAGATCAGTGATCAGTGTCTTTGCGAGGCAGAGCCGTCAAGGACAAGAAAGCCCGAACGGCCAAGCAGAAGCTTGCAACTCTACGAGGGCACATCAAGACATTGAGGCGCAAGCCAAGCCCAACCTTGACATTCAGGCTTCTGAGCTAGTGCAAGGAGAAGGAGTACAGTCGAACGCCCCAACCCCCCCCGGACCGGAACAACTGAAGTCTGCAAAAAGTCTTGGCATCTCGCGGCAGGAAGAATGCGGCGCATCCGAAGAGAAGGCGATGAGAAGCCCGCAGGTTTCACAGAGCGACTTGGAGACCCAAGTTGAAAACAGCAGCTACATTCAGATGCCCCTGGAGATCCTACGAGCCTTGCTGCAGCACGATACCTGCTTATCGAGTTGCCTTGCTCGGATAGTTCATGTTCTTGGCCCCAAGGATGCTAAACGCTCAGCTTCTGCGGAAGAAGTCCTTTCAGAAGCCTCCTCAACACTCACATCAGCATGAGCTCAAGAGCCCGAAGTATCCTACCCTTGCCTGTCCTGCCATATGCTGCCCATCTTGCGGCACGTAGCTGCCACTTTTAAATGGCAGCACCGCGTTCCTACAGGTGCCACCATGTGCTACTTGTAGCCTGCAGCATCAGATACTCAGACAGCTGGGAGGGCAGTGTGGATAGTCTTTGTAGGGCCGGCCTGACCGATAAAGGTCTTGAACCTCGGCAACACGGTAGCAGCCTTTCTATGAGTGTCACTCGGTATCCATACTGCTACAGCCTGCGATTGGTCGCCTTATTTGGAGCAGGTCCTTCGCTGCAGCACTGCGTCAGGAGGAGGCAACCAGACATATTCCTGACAGTTTGCGGATGCTATGGATGCTCCATGTGCTGTAGCATTGAGTACACCTACATGAAGTCAACATCAGGTGAAGTGAGACCATCAGCACTCCAATTCCCCCAACTTGCCAGGCACTGGAGCTGCGACTCAGGGCTGATGCACGGGAAGCGTACAGGACTAAGAGAGGCAAGAATGTGATGGGCTTCCTTGGCTGTCTGATGCATGCGCCTACGCTTACACTCTCTTAAGGCAGGTGGAGTCCGAAGCTCTTCGAGCGGCGATTTATTCAGAGCCCGGCCCTCAGAGCCTTGAATCTGAGAATCCATTCAAACCATGGCCGTGCTGAGTTGAGTTGATGAAATACCGCTTTGTTCATGCTCATGTGCCTGCAGAGGGCTCTCCAGCAATCTGCAGAAGAGGAGAGTGCCAGCGCCTTTGAGAAGTGCAATCCAAAAAAATGCATCTCCGACCTGAACGACTGCGGTCTGTGTGGGCTGTGTGGTGTGCAAAGCAGCTATTCCGGAAGAAGCATAAGATGGTTTCTAGTAAGCTGAAAACCCAGGCTGAGGCCTTGCTGCTCCAGCTCCAAGAGGCCGAGGCTCAGGCAGGAACCCCTAGCCGGCCTTTTCTCGTATCTATGTTGATGAGCCACGCAAAAGCTGCAGGTGTCTTAGGGGTTACACAACATTCCTCAGCTCGACGTGAAGGCAGCTGCCACCTGGGCGGAGTACGAAGAGCTCACTCCTCAACCTCTTCCAATCAGTGGCTTGACATAGCCAAAGATCATGCATCAGTACAAAGCTTGCACAAAATCCTATCTGATCAAGCATCTTGAGGCCTCTGGCGCAGGAGGCTAATGCACGGGCAACCCTCCGGCTCCAGTTGCAGGCACTGTCATCTGACCTTTCCATCGGGCAGAGGGCGCAGCTTCATGGTAAAGAATGATGGCTTACCGAGTTGCTGGATGCACTTGTACGTGCGTTGGCGTGGCAAGGAGCTTGAAGAGCAGCACTCGGTACATGCGGAAGCCGAGTGCAGATTGCCCAGACCCAAGATTACAGAGTTGCTCTCGAGAAGCAATGGCACTACCGCTGATAGGCATGCTACCTTTAGTCTAAGCATGAATCAAGCCACGCCCTTCTGTGCAGGAAAGTCCGTCATATGCTGTTGCAGGCTAGATGTTCTCGAAGCGCGACGGTCAGAAGTGGCGGAGCTTGGTCAGAACCACGAGGCTGGCCACCTCGCGATAATTGTGCCAAACTATCAGCGTCCCGCCACCTCCGCTGTCATGCCGTTGAGATGCACACAGAGGAACTGCTTTACTTGCATTTCATGTGGCTGGCTCCGACGCAGCTGGGCTCATTTTTCCTTTGACACAGGCCAGAGCATCCCCAGAACTCTCCACTGTAGCTTAGACACCCACTACCGTGCAATGAAGGCTTGAGGTACGGGGCTCCTCTACGCTGGCGCCAGCACATCCCCAAATCCACCCACCAAAAGAACAGGCTGCAACTTATTCTTTTTTTTCCCCGCGGACCTCTTTTGCGAAGGGACTCCAAAGAGGTCTCTTTAGGCTCAGTGCAACGAGAAAGCAAGACTCCACCAACATCATCTAGCCAACTCAGAGATTTAGAAGCAGTTTTCGTCTCCGGTTATGCTTGAAAATCTCGTTGCACTTGGCGATATGTTCGCGTGACTTCATCAGCCATGGACGATGGCTGGTCTCTAGGGCCCTGGGTGGAATTTTCCGCCCTGCTGGCCCTTCGGTTGCAGTGCTTGGTCTGCTTGGCCAAGCAGTGTCAAGCAAGTGAGCCCGCCCCATATAACTTCTGCAGCCTGCATGTATGCAGGAGGGTGTTACGGCAGCTCAGACGTCAAGCACTATTGCCCTGCCTTACTGAGAGGATGTAGGATGTGAAACGAGCACATTACTTCGAGCCTTCAGACGATTCTAAAAGAAATCTAGGGTACGGTGCCTGCTTGCAGGGTTTTGCACAAGAAAAGCCACGATGTCGATCAGAAAAAAAATGAGGTGTGCCCTTATCCCGCAAGACTGGCTTTAAGGGCCATCCCTGTACTGTAGACTAGTTGTGCATCAGTTCGTGCGAGTCCTTTACCACTTCTTCGCGTAATTGCAAGTCGGTTTCCGTCGGGCACAGCAGGGGTAGTCAAAGTAATTACTTATAGGGTTTCTGAGCGAATTTGCCGTAGCAAGGGTATGCCAGGATTATGAAGTAACATTCAATTGGTGAGCAGCAGTCTTCAAGATTGGCAGGCAGTGGTGCGCTTGCTCTAGCATTCGTTTCTCTATGGCTTCACGGCAGTACCTGTGCTATGAGCAAATTTCAGCAGGAATGCAAAGAAACCTTTGTCGAGCTCCCAAGTAAGTATGGACGAAATATTTCCTTACAGTGTCTTCCACCGGATAGTACCTTCTTTCTAAGAATGATACAGTCTTACTTCAATCAACCACCAGAAAACGCTGCTCGAAGTGAATAAGTTCAGGTTTTGGTCGCTCTTCATTATTTAGCTGGGCACAATCTAGGTGCTCAAAAACATGCTGAGTGACGCGCGTTGGGCTGTGGCGGCCCAAAGCAGCCAAACTTTGTGCTCGATTCGATTCCCCAAGGACCCTTCTTGAATTTGAGGATTCGTGGCTTTCAGTTCTCGAACTTCTTAGGCCAGCCCTTCTTGTCCTATCCTGAACAAAAATTCGGTATTGAGTTTAGTCAGAAAATCAAGAAACCGACGAACTCAGCGGAGGAGGCTCAAGTGGTCCCTGGGCACTCTCACTTTCTTAGCTTGAATTCCTTGCGTCGTTGGTACCGATGTTCTGTCAGCAGCGCACTGGTGATCTGATAAGTGGGTCAAAAGCTAGCATTCCCGCCGATGCAGCTGGAGGAGTAGCGTTTTGTAAACTTTTCTCTTGACGGGTAGGTAGCCAGATAGGTAGGCACGAATGTTGGTACGCAGCCTGTCATGCTGGCTGTTGGCGGGAACAATGACAAACTAGACAAAACCAGGCTGTCATATCTCTAGCAACAGTACCGTAGGCAAAATCAGGCTGTCATATCTCTAGCAACAGTACCGTTGCGACTTTCTCAGAACTACCCTCGTGGAATTTCTGGGTGACTCAGAAATCCTCTCATATAATGGGGTCATCAAGGGTAGCCCCATTCTCAGAAGCCCTGTAACAGTCCTGAATCTTTTTTGTTGATCCCCTGGCTACGTCAAGGCGAGCGCATTAAGCAGCGCCTGGCTGATGAAGGCCTCTGTATTAGGGCTGGGAGTGCTACAGGATGCTCAAAGATGATCCATATACCCTGAACATCGCGGAAGATCTACAGGGGCCGTAGGGTACCCCCTATTTGGCGAACACCCTGTGTGATGCTAACGTGGGCCAATACGAGCAAAAATCAGGAGTGATTGGATTGAAACATGATGGTGCGCGCGGTCTAGCCGGGACAGCGCTGATTGCAATCCAAGACTGGCATAGCACTGAAGTAGTGACCGCGGCCACGACATCGCAAGTAGAGGGTCTTGTGGCAGGAGGGATGGATTGCAAATTCTTGTGTCAGCTGTGGCTGCAGTAGCCGTGACCACAAAATTTCGAGCAACTGCCTGAGCTGCTCCTTCTGCAGCAGATTTTAAAGGAATTCGTCGCAGAGCTGAAGTTGACCCTGGTAATGTAGCTGGCCATACCTTAGCGGTCTGGGCCCCTGGACGTGGCAGGTACTGGAGATTTCCAGATTGATAGCCGTCCTGCTGTGCCTCTGAAGTTTCAAGTTGCTCGCGCAGGTTTGTGCGCCTTGTTCCATGCTGCTCTCGAACAGACAGTGTGCGCCCCAGTTTTGAATTGCAGCATGCGTCTGGTTCTCAAACATTTTGTGCAATGGCTGCAAGAATTGAGTCAGTTCACGAGGGTGTTCCCCAAAAGCTTCGCTTGGATGCCGAACCTGCAATGCCAGCTTCCATCAACAGATGTCGTTTACAAGCTTTATGCCTTCACAGCGGCGCATTCGCAAACCTTCAACTATTGAACCGCTGAGGCTCTGGCATTTGGGCGCTGCCGATCTTGTAGATTCCTCAGCATCTGCGGTCTGAAGTCAACAAGATGTGAAGTACAGATTGCCCCAGTGCAAGCAAACATTTCATTTTGTGTCCTCGTGACCTTGAAAGCAGGGATGCCCAAACAGCTCTTGATTCTCAGCCATGTCGATCAGGTACATGCAACCATTCAGCTCACGTTCTCGCAGAGCCTTGGTTGCAGGTTGACATGCACCTGATTGCATATCTTTGCCTTGGCCCGCAATTGCATCGGAGCCGCAGTGCAAGAGTCTGGCAGCAATGTGTCGCGAGAATGCTGCCATGAAGAGTTGCCAGTGCTGCATCGTCTTACCCTCTCATGCTCAGAGTGCCAAGGGTCACGCAAGACTGTTTGTCCTTGCCGCCGCCATCTTTGCAACTGGCGCCTTGGCATTCAGCGTCGCGCATCCATTTGTACCTCGATGCCCTGCCTTCTCGTTTTGTTAAAGTTTTCTTCTATCCGCTGGGGAACCAGACCTGTAGCTGCATTGCATGCAGTCCCACCGTTCTGAGGCATTCTACATCCGTGCCAGTGTACATTACTGCCTGATCACACTCTGTCACTCGGAGACATTATGAGCCACTGTCAGCCCGGCCACGTTCTACTCTACGTTTCAAGCCAGCACGGAGTTTCTCAAGAAATCACACCATGTAATGAACCCCTTAAGAGAGTAAGCACAAAGTAATCGCCTGTGACATTCATCCGGACTCGCCAAGGCTTAGTTGAAGTGCAAATAGCTGCCACGCTAGCAGCGGCCAGCCTACGAAACTTCAACTTTGCGAACTGGTTGGGGAAGGCCATCGACTGAGCATTTTCAAGCTTTGCGGAAGTGTTGGAATCATCTAAGATGTCCACAACCCGAGCTTGCTGTTGTCCTGCCATCTCATCGTGCAGCCCTGCCGTGACACTTTTCAGACATTGTGTGCCACTTCGTACAGGCACTTCCGTATAGCTGGGGGCTGGCTGCTGCTTTGGTGGTGCTCGACTGCTCCACGCTGGAGCAGAACACGAGCCAAGACTGCTTTTACGGGCACAAGCTGCATTGATTCTTCCCTACTTCTGTCTTGACGCTGCAGTGTCAGCTCGAACCAGTTAGACAAACAGACTCCTTGGAGTTTGCGGGATGGTAGGTCAGTGCGGCAGCTTCTTTCAACTCTTGCTGCACTAGCATGTGCAAAAACAAAACACGGAAGATAGATTGTAGCTGCTTGCAAGATGAGTGCTGCTGCTGCTGCTGCTGCTGCTGCTGCTGCTGCTGCTGCTGCTGCTGCTCCGTCCGTTGCTGCATCAAGCATCTTCCTTCATGTGGTTTCTTATCTTTGCAATTCGAACAGCGCCGACCCATACCAGCCACCCTGAAATCTCGATCAAAGCAAAACGCGAGTCCAGGGCCAAGGGCCCCAACGACCTTGGACACCTATCTGACATGAGACCTGTTCAGTTTGGCTCTTGCGCAGTCCTGGGCCTCCGGATTAGCACGTACAGAAGCTGAGGATTGTGTTGCGAAACGGCATTATCACTGGTGCAGCACCAGAATCTCGGCTTTGTTTTGGATGAGGGTCCTACGTCCTATGTACCTCCCTGGTCAAGTTTGCAACTCAGTGCTGAGGTTGTTGCGGCAGTCATGGCTAGCTGCTTCGTGCTAACATTCATGCTGCATCTTGGCTTCACGATGCTTTCATGCTGGCCCAGCAAGGTTTGATCTTAAAGATTTCGTTTAGACTTCAATGAGAGGTGTGCGAGCGTCGAAGTCAAAGTCTGTACTCAGGTATTTGCTTGCAGTGGTGAAAGTGACCAACTTGCGATGTTCGCACGACGTGGTCTGGTCGACCTCCTTCCAAGCTCTGCTTTACCCTTTGAACTTCACCATGACTGCGTCACAGCAGCAACTGCCTTTAGCGTGCGGGTAGTTACTGACAGCTCCAGACAGAGAGCTTGTGACTTTTGGTTTTGCGACAATGGGATGGGTTAGATGGGATATGCGATCATTTGGAGGGACTGGCTTCTGAGTGGACTTTCTGTCATCTAAGGTGTTCCCCACTTGGTTCATTCACAAGTCATACATCAAGGCCCGGTATGGCTTCTTTTGTTCAGATGTGGCTGAAAACTGCTGTACATCTCTCAGACATACCTTGCATTGGAGC